CTCTGCCCGGCCTGCCCCTCCACAGTGGAAGACGCGGAGCATGTGTTCTTTCACTGCCCGCGATTCTACGAAGAGCGAGAGAGACTTCAACAAGTTCTCCAAGAAGTGATCGAGCCTGAGAACATCGTCAGGCTCATGCTCGAGACCTCAAACAACTGGATGGCGGTAGCGTCTTTTGCGCAATCAGTCGTGACCAGACTGAGACAAGAGGCGCAAGAGGTGCAATAACAATCCGGACGATGCTGTAAGAAAAAGACGAAAAGACGCTTCTGGTTCCTGAACCCCTAATCACCGTAAGGTGGACGGGGGATGTACGGAAAAGACACAGATGTAGCAAAGAAGCTCAATAGAGTCCCCACTGAAGTAATGTCTCACGACGGTTTCCAGTGGGGTACTCGTTTCGAAGGGCCACTGGCTGCAGAGTTCACTNAAAAAAAAAAAAAAAAAAAAAAAAAAAAAAAAACACACACACACACACACACACACACACACATACACACACACATACATCCAGACAGCCTCCGTTGGTCTAGTGGGTAGAGGCGTTAGGCCACCTATCTGCTACGTCTGGTTGTCTGGAACCAGTGTAACTTTTGAACGGAGACACGCAGCGCGAAGTTGTTCGGCTCGTTTTGAAGGATTTGTGTGTCGTAAGAAGCGTCAAAAACTTATTTTAGGATCCACCGAGTAGTTAAAGAGTTATGCTTCATTGTATCGGGACCTTCATAGCCATTAGAAATTATTTAATCCAAAAGAGTAATTTTCGAACCTTAAAGGAGTAAATAACGCAGTTTACTTTTTTCGGTTTAGAGTGTACATGCTTTGACAGTTTAACACGGATCGTCAAATCGCTTGATCTAGCCGCGCCCGCCCCCAAACTCTCACTCTCTGCGATTGACCATTAGAATGCGCATGACACGCCACCAATTACCACTCATGCCTTTCACATTTCTACGATAGCTGCGTAAGCACCTCTGCAGGTCGCTCAGTTGCTTTTCTCGCTCCAGTTGGGCTACTAGACGTTTACGAATGAACTGCTTTGTTGCTCAGTCATAAGCCTGTCGAACAGCTCTCCATTTAACCTCTATTTAACGGGTGATTTTCTTTCGAGTGTCGGTGCGGTTGTAACGTCCACCACGTGTTCGATACTCGGTGTCAATTTTTTAGTTCACAGTGCGCGATTTCCATCTCAGAGGATAATTTTGTCAACATTTCAATTGAAAATGGAAATGAATAATAACAATGTATTCTTATCTTATTTATCAAACTTAAAAAATCATTTGAAAAGTTTAAAAGAAGGTGAAGCTAGACGCGGAAAATTTTGCTTCATGCTCCGAAAATGGTCGGAAATGAATTTGGGATCATACGCGTCGGCGAACAGGCTTATGTTAGAACTTATGAACTGTCAAAGCCTATTTCCGAACATTGAAGATAAAAATTCTTTTTTTCTATTCGCTTTGCATAAAGGCGATCATAAAATTGTAGAACTAATCGAGGCAAGCAATTTTAACATACAAATCGATATATTCGACAGGACATGTGATGGATTAAGTTTCTTAAAATCAAAAACCCTAGAGCTAATGGAATATTTTTTGAAGAATCCACGAGAAAACTTCTTTGTCGATCATGGATACACATATTTCAATGCGGCCTGCATGTCTGGCAACATGACTGCAATAAATCTACTCCTGAGCCGAGGCATGGACGTCAATCTCGACACGTACACGTGTTCGCCGTTGCACATCGCAGCCCAGTACAGACATCTACCTGTGGTAGAGATTTTATTGATAAATGGGGCCGATCCAAACAAACAGGACGCGGAGAAGTCGACACCTCTTCACGCACTCGCGAGGCTGTGTCTATGCCACTGCACCAACATAATCAGATGCTGCGATAAGAGAAAACCAGTTGATGATATAATTCAGACGCTAATTGAATATGGAGCGAACATCGAAGCTCAAAATCGTAATGGCGATCGTCCCCTGGATTTGGCGGTCTCTCGTTTCGATGTGCAGCTAGTCAAATCGCTTTTGAAACACGGCGCGAGTCTTGAAAATTTGAACGAGGATAAAATGTTCGGCGCAGAGTTCACATCGACCGAATTGAAGAATTATCCTTTCACTCTGAACATCATCGAGATGGTAAAATTATTGCAGTCGGCAGGATTTAAGATGAGCTTTGATACCAGACTCAAGATGTTAAAATGTTGGATAAAAGTTCGTGGAAACAACACAGACCATATAATGCTTAATAATAGTGATGATAGTAAGTGTCTAATTTGCTTTATACAATAATTATATTTACAAATTTCAAATTTCTCGAAAATGATTTTTTCTAGAGATTTCAAGGGTTACTTTGATTTTCAAGCATGAACTTTTCTTCGAATAGAAAACCTTTTTAATAATGTATTGAATGTTTAAATGACTGACACCAGACTAATTTCTTTTATAATTCGCTCACTTTTTTAATTTGCTGGTAATTATTTTTTTCTAGGGTCTTGGATAAACAAGGTAATGGTAAAAAAAATTTCGAGCAACTTATTTATTTATCGTGAGTTTGGCTTTCATATGATGCAAGAAGCCGAAGATTTTTTGCACCAAAAATGTGCTTCCGTATCAGTACCAATAACCTCAGCTTGGGAGTTTCCTCAAAGATTCATTGATTATCAGATGAAAACAGTTCCGAAACTCAAGAACATTATGTTAACCGACGACGTCTCGCTCTATCAACTTTGTCAAATGAATTACAGCAAGGGTTACTCGATCATCAAAAAATTGAATAATTGGCAACTACCACCAATGGATGATTTTTCGTGTACTGAGTTAAACCAGATTGTAAAGAGGCACGTAGCAAACATTCTAATCAGGCCACATTTAGAATTGTTCGCAGCCGATCTCTTTATGACTGATTATTGTAATTTAAGTCTTCCTTACGTCGCTTGTCGACGATTAGCCGAATGTATGAGTCACGAGGAATTACTGCGTTTGTGCCATCAGACAGACGAAGATAAATTACAATCGAGTCCGATACGTCACAAAAGGAGATGTGACGACGACGACACCGAATCTCAACCTCGAAGTTCGCGTAAACGAGTGTCATAATCACCTTTTTCCGATTCCGATCCCGATCACGCTTTAGCACGATTGCATCGATGATTTTCATCACTTGATAATATTTGTACATGTGAAAGTAAAATAAAGAAAAAGTAAAATCTCAACGAGCTTGTTTTATTACTTCTATGAACAACTTTCATTGACTTCGTGTTGATTAAAAAATTAAACCTTACTTTGAAGTATCGATATTTTTATCCGTAACTCTTGAAGATTATAAGACACATTGAATGGTAAATATAGGGAAAAAATTAAACTAGTTTTTTTGCAGTTTTGTTAATTGTTTTCTTGTTTCGATTTTGTTTTATTTAATTGGAACTCGGCGACGTGTTTTGTACAGACATAATATTGTAATTAATTAAATTATATATTTTTTGTAATTTATCAATTATTATAACGGTTTCATCATTCATTCGCTTTTTAACATAGTTTCATTTTTGTTTTGTAACTTTGAAGGCTTTGTGATTTCATTTTTAATTACATTCGACTTACTCATTTTTTTTCTTATTACAAAGGCGAGCAGTTTTTAAGGAATTTTTTCAGACTGTTTCGACATAATTTTTGTATAAACTATACAACGTAAAAATTACAGACAAAATGCACCCTTATCATTCCATATTTATTTTTCATTTTTTTGCTTTTCATAAATCGTATTTTCTGTACCATATGTGTGTATCTTTTATTTAATCATATATCAATAGAAATTACTGTGTTTAAACTATATTAAGGCCGAAAGGTAGGCATACATTCATATTTGCTTTTTTCAGTATCATTATTTTACTTTGTTCATCAGCTGCTACGGTTTACGATTTAAATATTACGTCAATAGAATTAGAGGAGGATTGCACTTTAGGCATAGTTTTTTAAGTTTCACAGTCCCGTCCATACACAACTATTTTTTCATTTATTTACTTTTTTTCAATATAAGGAGACACTTGTGAGATTTTCATTTTGACATTAAGAATGCAACGAGATGCAATAATAATAAATCTGCTCTG